TTTACTGAGTGTCCATGAAGGGAAACGAGTACAGAATATGGAAAATCCACAGTATCATAATTTGGCAAACATGCTATGAATTGTATTTTAACTACATTGTGGTATACAATAAGCCAAAACATATTCCCCTTGAAAGGCAGAAAGGAGGCTAATAGAATAATGTGAAGGAGAGAGATGGTGAAGCAGAGATTGGAACAAATCAATCACGAACCAATACGTTGAGCAAGCAGAAACTGAAAGAGAGAAAGAGTGTTCCCCAGAACCTTCAGAGAGAGCACGGTTCTGCTGTCAACCTGAAGTCAGTCTTCCGGTCTCTAGATCTATGCGCGAATGGATTATTCTGAAAAGCTACTTACTTTTGGTAGTTAGTTATGCAGACCCAGGACAGTCACCCAGGTGGGGAAGGACGCAGACAAGTCCTGTCTCTGCAGGACCTTCTGCTTTTGCTCTTCTTCAGGAGCGAGGCAATAGGGCAGAGCGACTGGAGGGGCAGGGTGGCCTTCCATGATAACCCACCTTGCACACAGGAATGGGGCGAAGGGTCAGGTGAGAGGAGCTGCAGCTCTTCTTCTTCGCTCCCTAAACTCTGGGCAGACAGCTGAGCAGAGGGTGCACTGACGGGGTGGGAGGAGTGACACTTCAGCTCCCATGGGAAGACCAGTAGGGAAACATACTTAACCTTGTGGATACCTCTTTGTGATTTGCTGGTCATGGAGTTGTGCGATTTTTTTCTGTCTCCCCTTGGGGTGCTTGGTCAAGTGAGGGTGAGGGTGGTGGTGTCGTGTAGACTTGGGCTTAAACTCGGTAGGACATTGCCAGGAAAGAATGGAGGGGAAGACCAAAGAGTTCAATGTATTTGCCAGACCTGGACTGAGGGTGGGGAGTGGGCGCTATGACAGAAAGGAGCTGGAAAATGAAGACCACTGTGATGGGAGTGTAAAGGAATGCCCATGGCTCCGGAAGTGTAAGCTGTTTACCTGAGTTCGTGTAGGCTGACCACCAAGTTCAGGTCAAGGT